AATATAAACCAAACTAACTGTGATTAAAAGTTAATTAGTTTTTATTTAAAAAATTAATTCTAATGGTTTGGTAGAAAATTAATCAAAACACCGGAATAGGATTTTTTGATATAATGAATTTAACTAACAATTTATTCGAATTCTACTACAAAATACTAAGTACATGTAATTTTGTCGTTATATTAATTACAACATGTTATTTTAATGTAAACTAAATTAAACGAGATCAAAACTGCATACGTTTTTATAAACACCGTTTAATTAGATTGTTAGCAGTAACTTTATTTAAAACAATTAAGTTTAACAAACAATTTATTAGATGGTTGTGCTCATAAAATTTAACTAACAATTTATTACAAGGTTTTGCTCAAAATAGTGCATAAAGAACAAAAGATGCGTTGCGATTGTGATAGTGATTGTTGTGATAAACGCTGTGGACTGTACGCGACGCGTGCTTGCGTCGGATAGATGTGCACACCCCACCAAAACGTGGCAAGGCGTCGGGTTGCATCGGGTAGCATCGCATGGCGTAGCATCGGGTAAGTGTGTTTCTGGCTTATCGCTCATCGTCAAGTTGAAGGAGATCTACAACCGCGTCTCTGGACAAGAATTGTAAGATTATGTGAACTAACTGCGAGCAGGAACTATCTTTTTAGAAAGATTGTTCCTGCACACAATTGGATGTTTCCAACGTCCGGATTTCAAGCTTTTAGCTCATCATCAGATCTAGTAGTTCCACAACCACCAACTAACTGTGAGCAGGATCTTTTTAAAAAAGATCGAACAACATACTCAATTCACCATTTATCACTTTTATTGCCTATGAATTGCGATAAATGAATGACTCAACTTTGTACACGTGTATGTCCAAACATGCGTGTGCAGATTTGAGCTTATAAAAATCAATTAGAGATTCCATTTTTGGCTACAATATGCGCCTGCCACCTGAGTAGTATGGAAAAAACCAAATGTTTAATTAATGTTAAATTAATATTTATAATTGCTAATAAGTATGTTTTGATAATGTAAATTTTGTGCCGATAAAATACTTTTTTTTTAATCGTGAGAAAGTGGACCAATTTTGACTAAACTGGAGAAAAGTAGGCGTCATTGAAATAGAGATTATCTGTATATGTATGCGTTTTCCAATGTGATTAATAGACTAATGGTCAAACGGAAATAAACTTTCTTTCCACACCAGCATGTTTTTATGCTCCTTGTACATAAATTGTCCTTTATTGTTACAATATTCGACCAAATTTAATCAAATATTTGCCTCAGTATTGTTTATCAGTGTTACAGATCACCATTGTGAATGAATTATTATGGTTTGGATCCAATGAAACTGATCTAGATATTGAATTGTAATTCCTATCGTTTCCTAATTAATGGCGATTAATCCTTGTTCAGTTTTGATGGATTGTTGATTTGTACAACGTTTCCATATTCAGAAAGAGAATTATTCAATGTCTTTTTTACACCTATCTCATCCTTAATAACGACGGAATATCGTATTTCTCTATCACACGGCTTTCTCTTTTTAAAACAATCTATCAAATTGTGTTGTGCAACGAGGGACAAGGATAAGGTTGTTTTCTTAAAAAGAAAAAATATATTGTATTAATAAAGTAAGATAAATTTTGTTACTTTTGGTATTTTTCTTAGATTTTTGATTTGACTATGTAGCTATGTAGACTATGTTTCAATTAATTAATATGTATTTAAGGTATTGGTTGAGATAAAAAAAGTCAGTGTCACAAGCGGGATTCGAACCCACGATCTTCGGCTAAATACGCAGCTACTCTACCACTTGAGCTATCGTGACTTCGATCCACTCGGACACTAAATTCCCATCTCAACCCCACCATTTATACTTTCCGACCTTTTTGCCATTTTTCAAATGTGTAATCTGTTTGATTCTCGGCGACAAATGAAATGGCCACGGAGAGCTTTAGTGAAGATATACTTCATTTAACTTATTAAGTTCACCCACTTCATTCTCGAATTTTATCTCAACTAAAACCTTGAATACAGACTAGTTAATTGAAAGATATTATTTGGTCAAACGGACCACGAAAACTACTGAATTTAGTAAGTTAAATGAAGTATACTTCACTATATATATTGAATATAAAAAAAAAGTATTTTTTGAATTGTATAAATTCACTTTTTTCCGCACCCTACATGTATTTGTTAAATTTAAACAATGTTTGTAAATCCCAGGCCCTGAAGACGATCTCAATAAAGATCGAAACGTTGGCACGATAAAGAAAATGTTTTTCAGAAACCTACATCACACCAGACAGCATCTCACGATTTCCGAATAATCATGGACTAACTATCACTAATCACCACACATCTTCACTAAAAGTCGCCGTGGCCATTTCATTTGTCGCCGAGAATCAAATAGATTACACGACATTTGAAAAATGGCAAAAAAGGAGGGAAAATTCAAAAGGTGGGGTTGAGATGGGAACTTAGTGTCCGAGTGGATCGAAGTCACGATAGCTCAAGTGGTAGAGCAGCGGCGTATTTAGCCGAAAGTCTTGGGTTCGAATCCCGCTTGTGACACTGACTTTTTTTATCTCAACCAATACCTTAAATACAGCTTAATTAATTGAATTTGGTCAAGCGGACCGCGAAAACTAGTGAATCCAATAATATGTTTAATGAAAAACATATTATATTGATTTACGTTTTCGTGGTCATTATACCAAGTTACTTCTTTCAATCAATTAATTATTCTTTCTATGAAAGGTCTTGGTTGAGATAAGAAAGTCAGTGACACGAGTGGGATTCGAACCCACGACCTTCTTGGGCATGGGTTCGAATCCCGCTCGTGACACTTACTTTTTTATCTTAACCAAGACCTTACATAGAAAGAATAATTAATTGATTGAAAGAATATTATATTGAATTGAAACTATGTACTATAATAATTTGATCTATTTAAATGTGTCAACATTGAATTTGTGTGGTGATTAGTGACCGTTAATCGATAATTATTCAGAAATCGTGAGATGCGGTCTGGTGTGATGTAGGTTTCAGAAAAACATTTTCTTTATCGTGCCAACGTTTCGATCTTTATTGAGATCATCTTCAGTGCCTGGGATTTATAAACATTGTTTAAATTTTACAAATACATTTAGGATGTCAGAGGCATCGGTGACCACAACGGTTTAGGCGTTGACACGGCGCTCATCTCTGAAAGGTAAAGGTCCCGGGTTCGAATCCATCGGATCTGCATTCGAACCCGACCTTCTTACAAATGGGCTTTTTTCAAAAACACTGGCACCCCGAGGGTTGATATAACCTCTACTGTTGCAAACCCTCGTAAAAAATAAAAATAAAATATTCGGAGATAGTGAGAACCTGGTTTGACGTAGGCTTCAGAAATTTTTTTTTATCGTGCCATGTTTCGAGCTTTATTGAGATCATCTTCAGGGCCTGGGATTTATAAACATTGTTTAAATTTTACAAATACATGTAAGATGTGAAAAAATTGAATTTATACAATGGTAGACAATTTTAGATTAAAAAAATATATGAATTTGTGCAATGCTAGAAAATTTTATATTAAAAATGATTTTATATAATGATAGAAAATTTTAGCTTTTTTTTAATATAAAATTTTCTAGCATTGCCCAAATTCATATATTTTTTTAATCTAAAATTTTCTAGCATTGTATAAATTCATTTTTTTTCACATCCTACATGTATTTGTAAAATTTAAATAATGTTTATAAATCCCAGGTCCTAAAGATGAAATAAAAATATCAATTTATACAATGCTAGAAAATTTTAGATAAAAAAATGAATTTTCTATCATTATATAAATTCATTTTTTTTCACGTCCTACACGTAAGCGTAAAATGTAAAAAATGCCAGGCGATGAAGATGATCTCAATAAAGATCGAAACGTTAGCACGATAAAGAAAATATTTTTCTAAAACCTACTTGACACCAGACCGCATCTCAAGATCTCCGAATAATCATTGTCTAACGGTCATTAAACACCACATATTAAAAAACTATGTAATTTTAGGTCAATATTACTTTTATTTATGCATATATGTATGTAATTATGTGTGGAAGTCATACGCAATTTTATAATTTAACTGCTAATTATTGTAGAGTCCAGAAAAAGATAAAACATTCTTCTAAGTACATAGACTCCATCTTAAGAGTATATTATTTATTAATATATTTTTATTGGTAAAATATTTATTAATTTGTTTTTTAATATGTTTAATGAATAAGTTGTTATACTGAATATGTACTACAATAGTTTGATCTGTTTTAGAGTTTTAACATTGAATTTATGTTCAATCCGTTTTATTTATTGATTTATGGTTGTTTTTAATAGTAATTTTCGTCACATTAACTTAATTGCAAAATATGTTTTTTCCTTAACAAAAATGTACGTTTCTTGATTTGAAATGTTCTTGTTAAACAATTTATGAATTCTCCCATCTTAATTTTGTTCTCCACTTAGCAAAATAAATATTTAGGTATTTATTTTAATTGAGCAATATATATTTCTTGATATATTTCATATCGTTTATCACATGTGAAACTACCAACGTGGGTTTTCTTTTGTTGGTAATATGCAACCTTTGATCTTTGCTTGCAAAGTACCTCAGAATATCCGTTCCTCGAGTATCTTGACGTCTTGATTAATAAAAGAGGATCCTTCTTTTCTTTATTTTTCCTTTCTCTCCGTTATTTATTTCGGTTTGTCAATCACACCGCTCCTTCAGAGTTTTCAATGTTTTCATTATTTATTAATAGTTTGTTGTACATTTTCATAATTTCCTAAGACATTTGTTATTTAAAATAAGAAATTCAGGCAAAAATGTAGATGTCTACTAAGACATGATTGAAATTTTAACAGTAGAAGATTTTTTTTCTGTAAACTCCTGCGTGACTACCTATTTTAGCAATTTATTCGACTGAACATTCCAGTTGATATTTTAATCGAAGGAAACTGTTTGTTTTAGAAGGCGTCGTGAGCTACTCAATGCCTCAGGGCGAAAGGAAACCCGGCGAGTTCGACCTCCGTGACAACACGTACGACGGTTCCGAGGACGGCGGATGGCTATCCGGTGGGCTCGGACAGCTCGTCGACGGGCACAAAGGCCAGGACAACTTCAACTTGGACGTCTACGGACACGGAAAGGGTAAGCACGATGTTGAATAGCTGACTAAACGAAAACTCGAGATTTACTTGCATTCGACGAGCGCGAAAATACCAAGTAAAACGTTTACGTGTTTTTGTAAACGAAACTTCATTCCAACATATGTAAAATTATATAATTTGATTACAAAAGTAATGTAATAATATTGTGAGTCTATATGATTTTGCAAGATTCATCATTTTTGTTTAATTCACTTGTTTTTGTGGTCCGCTTGATCAATGAGTATCATTCAATTAATTAAAGTTAAAATGGCAAAAAGGAGGGAAAATTCAAAAGGTGGGGTTGAGATGGGAAGTTAGTGTCCGAGTGGATCGAAGTCACAATAGCTCAAGTGGTAGAGCAGCGGCGTAGCAAGCAGAAGGTCGTGGGTTCGAATCCCGCTCGTGACATTGACTTTTTTATCTCAACTAAAAACCTTAATTACTTGAAAAATATTAATTAGTCAAGTGGACCAAGAAAACTAGTGAATTGAATAAGTTAAACTGAAGTACATCATCATTTACATCAACAGAAATAAACAATTACAGAACAGACACATGAAAACTCAGTCGCAGCTACACCAATATCAATAATCAATTTCAATATAGAAAACATACATATATCATCATCACACAAAACATTTAATATAACTTTCAATTAATTAAGGTTTTTTAGTTGAAATAAAAAAGTCAGTGTCCGAGCGGGATTCGAACCCACGATCTTCGGCTAGATACGCCCCTGCTTTACCACTTGAGCTATCTTGACCTCGATCCACTCGGACACAAACTTCCCATCTCAACTAAAAAACCTTAATTAATCGAAAGATATTAATTGGTCAGGCGGACTACGAAAATTAGTGAATTTAATAAGCTTAAATGAAGTATACCTTCTCTAATGCTCTCCGTGGCCATTCCATTTGTCGCCCAGAATCAAATAAATTACACTACATTTGAAAAATGGCAAAAAGGAGGGAAAATTCAAAAGGTGGGGTTGAGATGGGAAGTTAGTGTCCGAGTGGATCGAGGTCACGATAGCTCAAGTGGTAGAGCAGCGGCGTATCAAGCATTCGAATCCCGCTCGTGACACTGACTTTTCTATCTCAACTAAAAACCTATTTTTGTTTAACTTTTTAATTTATTTATTATTTGTAGGCAAGTGCAATTTACAGCCTTGTATGAAAGTTCGACTTAACGTCATGACCTGAAAGTGCAATCTGCTTTAAAACAAATAAAACTAATTCTTGGCGATAATAATTCTTGCGTGATTAATTTTTTTGTTCAAAGTAGACCATTAAAAAGTGAAATTTTTTAAAAGTTAGCGTACTTGCTTGTCGTAGTCATCTTCACAGTTTAGGAAAAAATACGATCTAAGGGGTAATAAAAGGCTAACTAGTAGTTATCCTAAATAAAGGATTAATAAAAGATAAAATAGAAGAATAAGTATTTGGCGTTCTTATTAATGAGTATTAATGAGCCAAAACATTTAAAACCTTAATTTAATAATTTGATCCGGCGGATCGGATTCAATAGAAAATTCGTACAAATGGGGTCATAATACACATTACAAATTGTTTTATTCTGTGTAAACTCGGAGAATGCACTACCTTGGATGACGCGCGTTTTAATCAGTCATACAGTCAACCATCGCTGGCATTCAATTTTTTTATATCGAATTAAGGATTCAGGAGCATGGTTGTTTGAAGCGAACAGGGTTCTTTGGAGGTACTGGAGAAGAGCTTGAGCTTTAAGTTTAGGATTGGTTGTAAGGAATTCAATTCTTTAAAGAAATTCACTAGTTTCGTGGTCCGCTTGACCAATTAATATCATACAATTAATTAAGATTTTTAGTTGACATAAAAAAGTCAATGGCACGAGCGGGATTCGAACCCACGATCTTCGGCTTGATACGCCGCTGCTCTACCACTCGAGCCATCGTGACCTCCAACCACTCGGACACTAGCTTCCCATCTCAACCACACCTTTAGAATTTTCCTTCCTTTTTGCCATTTTTCAAATGTCGTGTAATCAATTTGATTCTCGGTGACAATTTGGTCATTTCATTTGTCGCCGAGAATCAAATTGATTACACGCCATTTGAAAAATGATAAAAAGGAGGGACAATTCTAAAGGTGTGGTTGAGATGGGAAGTTGGTGTCCGAGTGGATCGAGGTCACGATAGCTCAAGTGGTAGAGCAGCGGCGTATCAAGCCGAAGATCGTGGTTCGAATCCTGCTCGTGCCATTGACTTTTTTATCTCAACTAAAATTCTTTAAAGAAAGGTTATTTTGGATAATGAGGTTAGAGACGTAGTAAGGAGCCTTGAGAAGGAAGAATCTTAAGGAATTTTGATTGGAATGCTTGCAGTGCTTGATAGTCACATACAGCTTCGCTCAGGTTGCCTAAATAAGTTGAAATAGTATTTTATACAGTCATGTCTGATTTTGGCCATAAACGTTTTCGTAGTTTTCAATTTCGTTCCATAGTTGATTTTGTTTGAATCTTGTCCGGGTATTCAACGTCTATTGTCAAGGTATTGTGTATTCCTTCCAGGAGTCAAGAAGGTCAATCTTGGTACAAGCCAGAACACAAGAGAATTTCTTATTATTTATTATTATTACGGTATTCTAATGTACCTAAGTACAGGGTAATTCCGAAACCTTGGAGATGAGAAAGAAGAGCCTTACACCTTTCTGGGGGCCGACGTTCAGCCGGGGTGGCCCTGACCGTTTGGTCTCTTGGTCGCAAGGATCCTCCGATCACAAAAGCTCGTTCACGGACCAAAGCAAGTGACCTCTCCGCCCTTGTTTTTGGACTTGTATCTTACTCCCAATCCCGAGGGCTCGGTTCTCCACTGGTAGAACCGGCCGGGAGGTGACAGGCACAACGGATTGGCAGAGAGAGAGTAGAGGTCTGTCTTGCCCTTCTCTGGTCACTACAGTTTAATTTCGAACATTTAACCTTTGTAGGTGTCGGTAGTGTTTTGTTGTCGTTAGCGCATAGTCGGCTGTTTATTTAACATAAACAAAATTTGGGCAGATTGTCTTCGGTTTTTTTCTCACCATTTGTCATCCTTATTCTATAGCGCAAGGTGATATTGAAAGTGATGAGGATAGGTTTTTAGATTAGGATATAATTAGTATCGTCAGCGTTGTAAGGATGGCGTTGGGATGTATCGGCAGATCAGCAGTATAAATAGAAAATAGGATCGGACCAGGAATGCTCCCTTGTGGGACGCTGCACTGTCTTGATAGGACTTGTTTCTGAGAACTCATCGCAGGTCATTACTTGGAAGCAACGATTTATGAGAAAGGATTTTAAGCTTAGAAAATAAGAAATAGGATATGCTATAGTTTGAAGGTTGCAGGTTGTCAGATTTTTCAAAATCTTGGGACATACCTATGAACCCATCCAAGCAGTACTCTCTGCTCTCTAAAGAAGAGGAAATAGTGTGAACAACCTGAATTCTTGCTGAATATAACTAACGGGATAAAAGAAAAAAAAGATTTTGTAGTCCTTAGGTCCTTAAATCATTATTTTTTTCAATCAACTCAGGTTTTTAATAAATGACTAATATTAGCGATGCAAGATAACATCAAACAGCATTAATATAAATATAAACATTATTAAACAGAACTTCCAACGGGAATATTTGAAACTTGCAGAACTCCAATTGGCAAATTAATTACATTCTAATTATTGGTTGGATGTCCAATACACGTATTATTTCCTATCAGGCGTTTGATCATTATTAAACCTGTCTGATCCGTCTATTATTGTTCCGTTATTCTCTGCTTAGAATTTTGTTATCTCGCTATAAACAAACCACGTTTACGCATTGATATTCGAACGGTTAACATAATTTTTGCAAATGAGATGGCTTGTTTTACAATTAATCTTTAAATGGATCATTTTCGATTTATTCATTTCTTTACGAAGTTCATTTTAACTAAAACTCTCGTACAATTATAATTTGAATTGGAAAATGTGACTGAACTTTGAAAAACTAACGTTTTTCATTCTAATTTCTCTAGTTTCGTGGTCCGCTTGACCAATTAATATCTTACAATTAATTAAAATTTTTAGTTGAGATAAAAAATTCATTTGTCGCGGAGAATCAAATAGATTACAAGACATTTGAAAAATGGCAAAAAGAAGGGAAAATTCAAAAAGGTGGGGTTGAGATGGGAAGTGTCCGAGTGGATCGAGGTCACGATAGCTCAAGTGGTAGAGCAGCGGCGTATCTAGCCGAAGGTCGTGGGGTCGAATCCCGCTCGTGACACTGACTTTTTTATCTCAACTAAAATCCTTAATTAATCGTTTTTTCTTTCTCTTATTATTTTAGTGATACATCCTTCTACTTTATTTATGCCTGTTTTATGCTCAATTTTTTAATTTAAAAATAAAATAAAATAAAGAGTTTCTTCTGTGTTATCTGAGGAGGAATGAACCTGAAATTTGTTTGATACCGAACAGGTTTGTCAGTTGATCCCTCAAATACGTTTCGGCACTACGACAAATGAAAAGACTAGTCTTTGTCATTTCTGTTTAGGCAAGTCTCTTTTGTAAAATGATTTTATTATTTGATATTTTGATAAATGTGCATTGCCGCGTTATTTTTGTTTTTCCCGTGCCTTTTATATAGGAGATTTTAATTTTTTAGTGATTATTCAGAGATCGTGAGATGCGGTCTAGTGTGACGTAGGTTTAAAAAAAATATTTTCTTTATCATGACAACGTTTCGATCTTTATTGGGATCATCTTCAGAGCTCAAAGTGTTTGTTCTCTGCGTAATTGTGCCATTGACATGAGATGGGAGGTTAGTGTTTGAGTGGATCGAAGTCACGATAGCTCAAGTGGTAGAACAGCGGCGTATCTAGCCAAAGATCGTGGGTTCGAATCCCGCTTGTGACGCTGACTTTTTTATCTCAACCAAACAACTTAATTAAAGATTAATTTAGGAATAATCTTTATTGAATGTTAAATTTCTTCTTTTAAAAACAAACT